CGTTATTTGGAGTTTCTGTAGATGGGTACTGCCTGCAAACAGCAGGCCTCGGCCACTCACAGGCTCACCAGGCAAGGGCTCAGCACATATTCACTCACACCTCCTCTCAGCCCTCTCAGAAGAGCATGCAGGCTCTGGGATTCACTCCACTGGCAACTACATGCAAACCTCAGCCAAATCAGACACCAGAGAATTACTAGTTTCACACCGAAGGATAAGTAAATGACATTTAAAATATCTACAACACTAAAAGGCCTATCATATTTATAAGAAAAAAAGTTGCAAGAATAATTAGTATTTCTAAACAACAGAGGAAACTTTGGTAAAACGATAGAGGCTCATGTTCAGGAAAAAGGAATCTGTGATGAAAAACAAAAGAGTAAGCCGACCGCCCTGCCCCAGACAGTTTCCTTCCTGGTAGAAGCAGCAGACCCTTTGAACACCTGCTGCTGTCCCCGGCCCAGCCCCGTCATTGTGGTGTCTTTAAGCAGAGTTTTGAGTCCCTTGTCCACAGAGACCTGGGCGATTCCAGCTCCCATCAGCCCTGCACCGAGGATGGCTAGATGCCTGGAAGGAGACGATCAAACGATTCTGGTGAGCATCTCAAGCGTTTTAGTAGTTGGGGAACACCAGCAATTCTGTCCCCTAACAAACCAGCCACACCGGGCACAAGTCTAACAGCTTTTGATAATTTCTATCTACAGAAAATTTCTGATTTTTTGGTTTTGTTTTTTGAGACAGGGTTTCTCTGTAGCTTTGGAGCTTCTCCTGGAACTAGCTCTGTAGACCAGGCTAGCCTCAAACTCACAAAGATCCTCCTGTCTCTGCCTCCCAAGTGCTGGGATTAAAGGCGTGCGCCACCACAACCTGCTTAATTTTTGATTTTTAAAGACAAACGTAAAACTCACTGAGTGTAAAGCACACCATGGTCTTTCTGTGAAGGTAGAACTCCACCACCTTTCAGCTGTGCTCGAAGCTCACAGAAAACCAGGTCTAATCTTGCAGAGATCTGTCTGCAGACTAATCTGTCAGTGTCTTCTATTCTCCCTTCTCCCAAAATCTATGGCCCTGAAGCCACAACACTTCAGGCTCCTTACTAGTAGATTTTAGGTTTTTGCTTTTTTGTTTGTTTTGAGAGAGGGTCTTAGTAGCCTAAGTTGGCCTTGAACTTCTGATCCTCCTGCCTTCACCTCCTGAGTTCAGGAATAAAAGTAGCACATAGCCATACTTGGTTTGTGTGGTACTGGGAACTGAACTCCTGTACGCCCCGTAGGTATTTACTCACCGAGCTGAGTACAGCTCCAGCAGTGGACCTTTGGTCTGGGAAGTAAGACCTACACCAGACCACTAGAAAATCATTATGAAATAAGAGAGTTCTATAGGGGCTGGAGAGATGGCTCAGTGGTTAAGAGTACTGGCTGCTCTTCCAGAAGACCCAGGTTTATTTCCCAGTACTCACAAGGCAGCTCACGACTGTCTGTAACTAGCTCCAGGCGATCTGACACCCTCACACAGACATGAGTGTAGACAAAACACTAATGAACATAAAATTAAAAAAAAAAAAAAAAGAAAAGAAAGCTCCGTAAAGCTGGTAGAAGGACCTAGAGAACTCAGAGCATCTGAAAACAAGAATATACTTGGAATAAAGGTTCTCCTGTGCACAAGGCAGAAATAAAAGCTCTACTGTGTGCAGGGCAGAAGAGGCTGAGGACAAATCTAGTTTTGTGGATGCTTGACACCTACACACTTGGTGCAAAGCAAATGCACAGGCTTTCTAGGCAGGGCAGCTTACTGAACATTCTTCTGTGGTGCTCCAAATTTATTCTTCTTGCACAGGACCTGGCCATTATAAAGTCCCATCAGTGCCTTCGATTCTTTGGTCAGCGCAAGCTCTCCGAATTTCTGAAAGATACAGGGAAGAAAGAAAGGTGGAACTTCAGGGTCTAGTAATGGGGATGCCTTCAGTTCATTCTCTGCAGAGCAGAGGCAACACCCCATGCCTCAGTTCCACAGGCATCTCAGTGAACCCGGGTGCAGCTTCAGCTCCCCTGCCACTGGTGTTCTCTTTATTGTCTATCCCCCTCTGGAGCACTTCTAACTTTGAAGGAGGTCTGCCTGTCTGTCTGTCTGTCTGTCTGTCTGTCTGTCTGTCTATCTATCTATCTATCTATCTATCTATCTATCTATTTTTGGTTTTTTGAGACAGGGTACTCTGTGTAGCCCTGGCTGTCCCTGGAACTTGCTTTGTAGAACAGGCTGAACCTTGAACTCACAGAGATCCTCCTGCTTCTGCCCCCCAAGTGCTGGGATTAAAGGTGTGCGCCAGTACACCCAGCTTTGAAAGAGGTTTTTACTATAACTGAGCCCTCAGATTCTTTACAGCAGAGGAGTGGTAACTTTTGCCAATGATCTAGCCAGTGGTTCTCAACCTTCCTAACACTGTGACCCTTTAATACAGTTCCTCATGTTTTGCTGATCCCCAACCATAAAATTATTGTTGTTGCTACTTCATAACTGTAATTCTGTTACTGTTATGAAGTCTAATGTAAATATCTGATATGACAGATTCAATGCAATGCCCATCAAAATCCCAGCAAAATTCTTCAAAGATCTTGAAAGAATGGTACTCAACTTCATATGGAAAAGCAAAACCCCAGAATAGCCAAAACAATCCTGTACAATAAAAGAACTTTTGGATGCATCACAATCCCTGACTTCAAACTCTACTACAGAGCTACAGTACTGAAAACAGTCTGATATTCGCATAAGAACAGACAGGAGGACCAATGAAACTGAATAGAAGACCCAGATATCAATCCACACATCTTCGAACACCTGATTTTTGACAAGGAAGCAAAAATGTTCATAGCAGCTTTGTTTATCATAGCCAGAACCTGGAAACAACCTAAAT